ATACTGCAATTATTTAAATAATTATTAAATTAACTTTCACAAAAGAAGTAAAGTTAATAAAAGATAAATTTCAAGTACCAAAGGAGTAATTATTCTATAAAAGAGTTTACTAGAAAATTCTTGCTTTTAAAAAGTTAGTTTTTTTTACTGCCGTCAATGACGAAAGATATGATGACTCGATCAATTAAAAATTTTACTTCAAATTTTGGCACGCATATTTACCTTGATTTAAATCGTCATCAGAAAATGTTTCTCTTTTCTGAAAGAAAAGTTTTCAAAATAAGGCACAACAATAAGGATTATAATCTACTTAAAATCGTATCTCTTTTCAATTGTATATCATTAATTAGATCAGTCGATCGTATGTAGCAAAATAATTATTCATTTCAACAATATCTATGTGCATATATTTTTAAAAAGTTAAACATTTTCTACCAAACTTTTTTATTATTCCTACCTATCTAAATTTTGTATAATAATGTGATGTATCAAAAACATATATAATATAAATCCTTCCTATCTATGGTAATTTCATAGATAGACAAGTTAGGCATTCAGGACTACTATAATCTTGTATAATTAATAATGAATTGATCTTTTGCATTCAATGAATTTAAGATCTCTTAAGTGTGTCTAAATTGTACAAACACTCAAGAACACTTCAACGTTCTCTTCAAACATGGCAATATTTATTATCCATTAAATTTCGCAAAATCTTTTAATTCTCTATCATCTCACTTTGCTAATGTCTTTTAAATCATTTTCATTTTTGTTGCACATAAATACTTCATTATGAAAATATTTCACTAAACCAGTCAGTGAATGGTCAACGGCATCCACATCCAAGAACAGCCATATCCTGATAATTTTTCAGAACTACTTTATTCTCCTCGTCAAGATAGAGCATGGATATTGAACTGAGCGCGGTAGGTACACAACAAGCCTTTGGCACCATGCTTGGTTTTGTTGAATAGACCAAGTTCTGAACAATTGCATGATTAGTAGAATTTAAATGATCTGCCAGAGGAAAAGGGCAATCGCCATGACAATAAAAAGCATCATAACCAGGAGGAGCTACAATCCAATCATTCCAACCAACATCTGCAAAATCAACGTAGAGTGGGAGTCGTCTACAGTTTTCACGACCATCTTTTCGTCGATTTTTTCGAAGTGCAGCTCTTCTGGCACGGCGGTCCATTATTTGGCTTGCAGAGGACATTTTATACCTATGACATAATTAATGAATATGTTAAATTAGTTGTTGTAAAACATATTAATTAAAAATAAATAAAAACATTTTTAATCAATATGGTTCTCCCATTACCTAAATATTTGCAACAGAAATATTTACGAAGAAAAAACTTTCAGAAAATGAAACTAAATTATGTATACTAAATTATGTTATTTCAAAAAGAAGGAAATCAAGATATTTCGTACCTGCCATCATCTGTATAAGTAAATAACATTGGTCGACTAATAACCCATGTTTCGTTTCTTTCATTTATACTCCTTTTTAAACGTACATGCTCCTGTTTACTTCCATGCACATGCACCAAGAGTCCATGATTATTCTTAGGATCATCTATCCACCTCTCTACAGCAGGGTGAACATCTAAACTAATTGTGCCATTCTTCCTAGTATTAACTGGTTTGCTGTCAATTAAACGCAGTAATGGAGCACTATGTCCCTTTGTACCAGGACGTAAAATATCATAAACAAGTATTCTACCCAACTTTTGTGTGGAATCTTTTTCATTCAATATGGATTTGCGAGAAACACTTAATTCAGCAGCTTGTAATTTCTCTCCTGAAGGTATACTGCTTAAGTCAAAAGAAAGACGAAAGCGATTTGGAGATTGAAATTTATGATCCAAGTCACTTTCTGTAATAAAAAAAAGAAACACTTTATTCGTTATTGTAATTAGTAGTATTCATAAGAATGTTTTGCATTGTACATTTAATAATTAAACTAATACGTAAGTAGCTGCTTATATAAATAAATATCTGAAGATTTTAAATAAAAGTACTTCCTTTATAATAGAGGTGGTCAAATCTCTAGGGTAAGGTAGCATAATATTACATCTAGATCGTCGATTTATGCTAATATAATATTGTATAGATAAAATTATAGAAGCAAACAGTATAAAGAAACTTTGTCCATACCTATAGATAGTTTTATATGATTGAAAATAGCATTAAAACTTTCATTTATTAAGTTTTAACTAGTGAAAACAAATACACCATTGATGACATAAAAATAAATTATTTGCAATAAAAATTCAAATTCCCAGATTTCTGCTCTTTCATTATCAATTTTGATATAATAAATACAAGAGTAACTAATATAATGCTGTTATAACACTTTTAGACTACTACTTTCATAGCTTATTAATAAGTATTGTACATTGCAATAGTAAATAAAATGTTAATTTATTTTAAATATACGTAAAATATATTCTATTAATATAAACTATACTTACCAATATGAGAAAAGGAGCGAACTGTATTAGCAGATCTAGCGTTAATACCTGGTCTAGCAATATCAGCCATACCAATGGAATTTTGTTTAACAAAAAGTTTTTTTAAAGATTCTGGAACATAAGCTGGACCTTGTGGTTTTGGCCTTTTAGCAAAACCAAGAAGTGACAATAGGCTAGCCTCTATTCCAGCAATTGCTTGTTCATGTTCTCCAATCGAAAAATGTTTGGCAGTGTCAGAATGCAAGTGCATATGAACATTTGCTTTGGTAGCTGCCAGCAGCAAATTTGCTGCGACGAAAACCAATCTCAGTGGCAGCAACATGCGCATTGTGATGTCGTTGCTCACGGATGTTGCCTCCCTAATAACAAATAAATAAATCATTTACCTTGACATAAATTTTCTTGAAAGCAGAAAATAATGTATTGTATTTGTTAGTAATAATATTTTGATAATCTAATTGCATGTATTGCATGTTTTCCTAACAAATATATTAATAGCAAGATAAACATGTAGATCAGAGTATGTCTGCTTTAAAATTATATACATGCCTGAGTATTTTATTTCTGTAACTTATTTCAAACTTATTTGCAGCAACTTATTAATAGAATTTTAGTATTAATTAAAAAATATGTAGTCATTAATAATTAAAATTAATAGTACTTTTGTTATAAACAAAACCTTAAATTAATCCTTTAAGTTTCTATCAAATTACTAGACTGTAAATCTATTAAAACTGCATAATAGATAATTTTTCAATAATGAAAGATTAACTTAACATATTTTAGCTAATAAGAACATTATTTTTGTTTTGGGAATTGTACAAATCAGGAAAAGATCATTACATTTGCTTAATCAGGTATAATGAATATGAACATGTATATTTTGCATTATCTGAAAAGTTTCAAGAGTGAATTTATAAAAATAGTATTAAGGATCTTCAAAGTATGATTTTGAGGAGCTCAATTTACTATTAGAGTAACAGTAAATCAAATAAGTTGC